AAGAGCGCGGGAGATGGTGCTGGAAGCTTCCATAGCGTTGTGTCCCAGATTCTTAAGTTAATAAACGTGTTTTGTTTCAAGAAATCAAAGGAAGGAAAGAAGTTTGAGAAATTCCCGTTCCCCTGGTACGATGGCTGGGCCCCACCCCGAGGTCTAGAGCTGGGCAGGGCCAGGAATCTGCATGTCCACTGAGCAACCTCCGCTCCACGGACACGCCGTGAACATACCTGTGGCAAAGGCTTAGGAGTGGGCCTGTCACCCGGCACCTTGCACGGAACTGCCTCTGGTTTGTGAAGATTAAAGAGCCAAAACAGCGCCTGGGGCGCACAGAGCAGAGGGTAGGTGTCTGGATAGGAGTGTTTACTGTACCGTTGCGAGAGTGGTCTGGCGCCCTAACGCACCACTTGGCGGCAGTGTACCCAGGTGACGACAATGCGGGCTTCGGGAACCTGTGACATCGCCCACCTCAGTCCTCTCAGGCCACCTGGGGCAGGAGGAGGTGGGGAGATGGGATACGGTGAGCTCTGCACACTCCTGCCAACCGCAGCAGATTTAGCTCTGGCTTTCTAGTGGCAGAGAGGGACAGATGAGCCAGCCTGGTGCGTCTCAAACTTGAATGTTCCAATCACCCGGGGAATCCACCTAAATCACGCCTTCCGATTAGGAGCTCTGGGGGCGGGGGGACCGAGATTCTGCCTCAGAACTAGCCCCCTGGCAAGGTGGGTGCAGCTCGGGACCCCTGGGAATAACGCCTGCAGGTGAGCAGTCCCGTCACTCCAGGTACCAAGAGCCCTGTGCAGGGTCGGCAGGTACCCGACTGCACCCAGCCAGGCTCTCATCTGGGGGCTTCTGTCATCAGCCACGAGGGAGGCCAGCAGAGAGGGCTGAAGGCCAGGCCGAGGGAGGACACTCCTGCCTCCCGGGGGGGGCAGCTGGCAGAAATACAGGGGAGGGCACACTGACACTACTATGGAGATAGGAAGTGTGTGCGGGTTGCTGAGCTTTGGGTTCTGTCAAAAGGCCAGCCAAGCATTTCTTCTTCCCCCAAAGCGCATGTTTGAGCTCAGTGAGGCACCTGGCTCCGCACTGTGTCCCCGGACACAGTGATTTCTACCTGTCCATCCCTGGGTGCTGGACCCAAGGTCCCCTCGGCTGTGTGGGGTGGGAGGAGGGGCCCAGGGCCAAGGGCAGGGAGAGGGCCCACCTGTGCCAACTGCTGGGGCTGATACATAGGGAGGTTTTGTAGGGTGGGGGGACTGCATTCCCCATGTCGTCTGAGTGGGAAGGTGAGGGGCGGCCAAGGAGCAAGACTTCAGGTCCTGTGGGTGGGAGATGAGCCCCTGGAATCCTCGGAGAGGTGGGCTGGCCAACTCCCCGCCACGGCCTTTATCTGCCTTCGAAGGAAGGAGCACCCAGGAGGGAGTCAAAGCAGGGGGCTTGGGGCAGTGGCATTTGGTCTATCCTACCCAGGAGGTCAAGGGCAAGGTCAGCAGGGTCGGGCAGGAGGCCTCCACCCTCCCAGCTGAGCCAGACCAGTGTCCCTCACCTGTGAGGGGGCACGTGGTGCGAACGGTGCCTGGAGCTGTGTCATGCCACCTGGCCTGTGCATGGGTGCTGAAGGGTCCTGGGGAGAGGGGCAGCTGCAGGGTGGGCAGGGATGCCTGTCAGGCGGGGGCAGGGAGAGCAAAGGAAATGGGAGAAGGGACGGAGCGCCAGCCATGAACACACTCCCCTCCCTGTCCCCATCTTCTAAAAATGTGCCCACACCCAGCCTCCCCTCTTTAAAGGGACAGATGTCGGGGAGAAGCTGATTATTGTCAGAGGCTGGAGGCTGTGACCAGAGCCCTCTGTTAGAGCGTGACCCAATTCTGAGCTATTCTTGGCCTGGTGGGAGCTGAGTAATTCCCTCCCGCCGATGCCTTGCTTGCCGGCGGCCTGACTTTGAAATGCCCTCAGCCAGGGCAGAGAGACGCAGCTCAGGGAGGATGGCGGGGCTGACGAGGCCCTGCAGGCCCTCCCTACTCACTGAGGACCCACGGTGCTCAGTGCCCACCAGGGCAGAGGAGGCCCTGCCAGCACTCACCCCGTGCCTGTGGGACACAGCCCCTCTCTAAAAACTCAGGGTCTCTCTTGGACCTGACTAGAGGTTAGGCCACATGACCAAAGGCTTGAAAAGTGCTCCCATGACCTGGCTCGTCCTGGATACCTGAGCTGCGGACACGACACTGGCACGCACAGGCCAGGGCACTGTCTGAGGAAGGGGACCTTCTGCCACCTCAGCCCCCACTCATGAACGGGCCTGGCTGAGGTTGGTTGAGAGCGGCCAAGCCACAGACCCGAGAGGAACTGACTGCTTCTTTAGGCCTCCTAGTTGTATTTTCTGGGGGGAGATATTTGTTATGCAGCACATCTAAGGTGACAGCTAACTGATACAAGTCTTTAAAGTCGTGGAGGTCACCTGAAGTGCCGTCTGCCCATGCCCAGCCGAAGGGTCTCAGTGTTGGGTTTTATTATGCAACTATGAGCACAGAGACCGGACAACTGGCATTTGCCAGAGGAGTCTCCATGTCTAATCTCTCCTGGTTTCCTGATTAACTCTTCAAACACCCCTGAAGCAAAGAGCTATTCAAGTGCCCCAAAGCACAAAAGATATTATCAGATGGACCCAGAGTGGCCCCAAAATTCTGGCCTTGGAATCTGACACACAGAATGGGGGGCTTCCTGGAGGCAGCAGCAGAGCAGCTCCACTTGATAATAGACATTCTGTGAGTATGAACTGTGCAAACGTAATACTTAATCTCCCCTGCGCCGTGCCAGAGGGTGGTTGTGACCCAGGCAGACATGGCAGAGGGCGGAGTGGGGTCTGGCCACCTCCTAGCGAGGCCTTCCTATTCTGACCCCCTCCCAGCATAGGTCCAACTTTTCCCTAGCTTTGCTCCTGCCAAGCACTTGTCCCCCACTCCCCCCCAAGCCCCTCAGGCTAGACTTCCCTGATCATCTGGATCCTCAGCACCAGGAGTACCCGGCTCTGGAAGATGCTCAGCCCACATGTGCTGTGTGAGAGGGTAGAGTCCTGAGGATTGGGCACCATCAGCCCCCACCTGCATGCTCCCTCCTGGGGGCATTGGGAGCAATGCCCTGCCAGGAGGCAGGGACACACACTGGCTGGCAGTGAGGCCCTGTGCGGAGCACTGGGAGCAGGTGACTGGCCTGACTGAGGGTCTCCTGCTCACTTCCACCTGGGGAGGCCTCCTGCTCACCCCCTCCAGTTCCTAGCAGCCCTTCCAGACCCTGCAGTTACTGGGTGAATCCTTGCCCTGTGACCAGCCCCATGCTGCAGACTCAAGGAGGTGACTGTCACTGACCTACTGGTCACTTGCCTGCCCCAGGCCCTGAGTCTCCATGACTACAGCAGAAACCTCTCCCTCTGCCTGTGGTCACACCCTAGGGGACCTCGCAGGGCTAGGAGCGTGTGATATGGGCGGTCTTGGTGGGTGTGCAGAAGTGGGGGGGGCGGGAGCCCAGTGAGTCCGAGTTCCTCTGTGCCTCAGTTTCTCCACCTGTGCGGTGGGCTGGGGTGGGGGAGGGCTCCATGCAGCCCGCCTGACCTCGAGAAAGAGGCAGGAGCGCAGGCGTCCCCTAAAGGACAGGTGAGAAACAGGCGAGGCCATGAGCAGCACACACGGGCTGAGGAGGGCAAGGCCTGAGGCGGGGGGCTTCCTGGGGGAGGTGGCAGGAGCTGGCATCCATGCAGGGAGACTCCAGTTCTGGCCCTAGGGTGGGATCCTGGTGAGGCCCTTGGAGGCAGTCTCCGGGTCTTCTGGGGGCAGGGGAGGGAGTTGGATGTTACTTCTGTGTTACTCAACAGGGTGGGGCTGTGAGAAATTTCCAAGGAAAAACTGAGGGCTACGGAATGTCTGGGGTGGAGCGGGGAGTTACTGGGTGAATCCTTGCCCCGTGACCAGCCCCATGCTGCAGACTCAAGGAGATGACCATCAACTGACCTACTGGTCACTAGCCTGCCCCAGGCCGACACCACCTCTCTGGGCATCAGGCTCCCCATCTGCAGAACTGGGGTGCACCAGGCCCCTGCTCCTTTGCCTGCAGGGGCCCCAGGCTGGAGGGAGCCCCAGGAATGATCACATAATACAGCGTGGAAGCGGAGGACAGTTGAGTAGGATGCTCCTGCTCTGGGGCAGGGGTGGGAGGTTTGCAAAAGGCACATTTGAGAGGGGCCTTGAAGGATGCATAGGAGATTGGGCCTGTGTGCTCTGTAAATGCTGGGGAGCCCCACCCACAATGGACACCCGCAGGTCTTGCCCTAAGGCCAGGGTAAGGCCCTTGTCTCATCCCTCCTCTGCCCCCTAGGCTGGGCACTAGTCTGAGGTCAGGACAAGTCCTGGAAGTGGGGATAAGCCTCCTGGGGCAGGGCTACTGGCTCCAGAGACCCTGAGGGGACAAACGTCCTCCCAGGAGGCTGCACAGGATGTAGGAGTAGGAAGCCACCAGCCTGGGGACACTGACACTAGGAGACTGGTGCTCCTGCAGTCCGCCTTGCTTGGCACCCCTCCGAGGACCCACAAAACCAGGGGTAGCCTCAAACCGGGTAGGGGTCTTGGGGTCCTTCTTGAGCTCCGGGCCCTTCGGGGTGCACGAGAGGCACCAGGGCACCAGGGCACCTGTGTGACAGGCCACACAGGGCTGTGAGGGGAGCGCCCAGAGCTCTGGGACATAGTCGGACACGCAAGCACACACACGCTCTCTCCTCCCTCCTCCTCCATCCGTCCCAGGGACAAGTGGCCCTTTTTGCAGCTGGGTGGGGGTGGCCACACACTCGCCCCTTTGTCCCAGTCATCCAAGGCTGTTGTCCCGCAGTTTAGAGTCCTGTGGCGCCTGCAATGCGACAGGAAGAATCAGGGGCCAGGCGGGCTGCATGCAGGAGGCCCAGCCTGGGCACTGTATGGGGGAGGGGCCTGGCCTCTCAGGACACCAGAGACCAGTTGCTATGCAGGGCATCAGGTTTATTCTTTACCAGCCACGGTCAGGCCGGGCCTCGTGCCGGCACAGTACCCGTGGGCCCAGGGCATGTGCCAGGCCCTGTGTGGGTAGTGCAGGCAGGGGCACCAGCCACACGCCCCCAAGTTGGAGGCCGGGCTGGGGCAGGTGACATGTGCCCCGGCTCTGGCGTCCTGCCCTCTGTCCTGGATATACCCCGCCACCCCACAACCCCAGGGCTTCTGTGAGGGGCAGGGGCACCTGAGAAACGCTGGGGTTGGACAAGGGCTCTAACAGATCCAACTAGGACTGGCTGGGTCCGCTGCAGCATGTCACCATCCTCGGGCCCCTGAGTGATGGAAGCTGCGTGTTCTCGCGGCAGAAGGCGGTTCCCAGGCAGGAAAACGGGGTGGTGGGTGGGCTGCCCTCTAGAGGGGAGGGGGTGGCAGTACCCAAGGTGCTGGGTCGCCTCTCCACAGTTGCCGGGCCAGCCTGGCCAAGGCAGGGCTGGGCCTCGGGGGTCCCGGGGTCCACTGCAGCACCAAGCCCCCGGCCCTCCTCCTTGTCTTTGCTCCCCCACCTATTTTGCTGCTTGGGGCCACCAGCTCTACTCCTGGCCCTCAGCCCCCAGGAGAGCCTATGGCAGTGGGGACTTTGAATGTCAATGAGCAGCAGCAGGACAGGGACACTGGGCACAGTGGAGGCCTCCTCCCCAGGGATCTGAGTCTTGGAGCTGGCTGGCTCCCAGGGGGCCCCCATGCCCCACCCCACCATCTGTCTAAACACAAGCCCAGCGGGCCTCCGCTGACCATATAAGGCGGCCTGCAGCAGGCAGAGCCGCCCTGCTGGGGCCACGCGCTCCCAGCTCCCCGGAGCTCCTGGTGGGCAGCCCACTAGTCTGGGGTCTTGGTGGCAAAGGTCAGGTAGCCAGTGTGGCCCACGGCCTCCTTCATGGGCGTCCCGCTGCGGAAGGGGCTGGCGTCGGGGCCGGGGCTGGTGCCCAGGTCCGGCGCGGGCAGGCTGACGGTGCGCACGTTGTACACCTGGGGCAGCACCTCCACGGTGCTCAGCTCCGAGAAGCCTCTGGCCGCCAGCGCCTGGCACGTGCGCTGCACCTGCTCGATGCAGGGCGAGAAGGAGCAGAAGCGCCCGCCTGCGGGAGCAGGACGCGGTGTCAGAGCAGCCGCCCGCCCGGCAGCCTTCTCCAGCTGGTCTGCGGCTGGGACTGCAGGGCGATGTCACCACCCGGCCCTCCAGGAGCGGGCACTGGTAAAGAAACCCCACTGAGTGAGGAGGGGGGATGCCTGACCCGCCACGTGCTCAGGTCATGAAGAGCTGTGGTCAGGGGTTAGGTGGGGCCTTGGCATCACAGCTGCCAGCTCACTGGGCCCAGAACAGCTCTAACCACATGGCTCCAACCAGATGGCCTTAACTAGACAGCTCTAACCAGGCAGCCCTAACCAGATGGCCTTAGCCAGACAGTTCTAACCAGATGGCTCTAACCAGGCAGCCTTAACCACACAGCTCTAACCAGACAGCCTTAACCAGATGCCTCCAGCCATAAAGCTCTAACCAGACACATCAGCACTGGGTGGGGCAGGGGTGGGGGCTCAGGGGTGGGTGAGGACATTGAGTCACAAGATCAGGGGCTGTCCCAGCTCCTGGGAACTGGAAGCACCTCCTCTGAGCAGGGGCCAGAAGGCCAAGGATGATTGGGGGGGTGGGAGCTGAAAGTCTCTTCCTGCCCCTCCCACTGGGGGCTGCCTGCAGTGCCCCTCAGCCTGGCCCAGTCCCAGTCCTGGCAGGGAAGGCTTGGGAAGCCAGGGTGGGGGAGGCGTGTGCCTGGGTCCTGGTCACCTCGACCATAACCGGGAACACGTCTCCCTGTCAGGGCTGCAGGGAGGCCTGGGCTTGGAGGAAGCATGTCCTCCCAGAGTGTCACTACCAAGAGGGCGTACACTGCCAGGGAAACCAAGGTCCCACTAGGCGAGGGCCTGAACCTGCTGGCCAGCCCGAGGTCCAGAGAGTGGAGGCCGCACTTTGCCGGGCCAGGCTCACAGTGGGCAGGCGAGCGGCCGGAAAACGCCAGACCACGGGTGAGTGGAAAGCCTCTGGGCCCAGGACAAACAGAACCGGAGACAAGAGCCCGGAGGAGGGACTTAAAGGGGCACAGAGGACGGGAAACAGATGGTGTGGCTCCCCCGGGCCAGCTACCAGCAAGGAGTCTCAGCAGCAAGAGGCGGCGGTTGAATGGACGGCCTGGGCTCAGCCAAGGCTGTGCAGCCGGCTCTGGCCTGCCTGGGACCGGAGTCTGGACCCACTGGTGTCCCTGGAGCAGGGGGTAGAGAGCAGGGCGCGGCAGTGGTGCTGCGGCAAAGCTGGAGAGAGCGGAGACAGGGGGGAACCAGGGCTGCCCAGATCCCCAGCCCCAGGCCATCTTGGCAGAGACCTGGGAGTCCAGGAGGAGCCTGAGCCAGCTGGCGGGGGATGCACTGGCCGCCACCTTGCTGGGGGAGCCGCCTGGCATCTGCCTTTCTTTCCGAGGGAAAACCCCTCCCTCTAGCTACGGGTTCAGCTGGCAGGAAGAAAGGGGCTGCTGCCTGTGTGGCTCCTTCTCCAGAAAAGGGAAAAACCGGGGCTGCCAGCGCTCCCTGGCTCGGAGCCCACTTCCCGCCTCCACACCAGCTTCTTGCCTAAACGGGACCAGCTGCGGGACCAGCTGCCAGGCTCCAGGCTGGGGGGAGGGGCGACTGCAGGGAGCCACTGGGGTCAGGGGCTGACCTCTGACCTCTGGCACACCCTGTGGTGCAGGTCCACCTCTCACTCAGGCAGGGCAGCCACATCTCCATGGGCCTGAGACATCTCTCACTTTGGGGTGGGACCCACTGGTGGCTCCAAGTCGGAGCCTCATTCTCACCAACCTGACTCCTCTAACCCTCACCCTCTCACCAGGTGACCTCCCCAGGCTCCCCCAGACCAGTCTGACTCACCCCTACCTCAGGTCAATCAGTGTCCTGGCCAGGCCCCAGAGCTAAGCCCCCAGGGCACACCCCTCCCAGAAACCCCATGCACCTTCAACCTTGAGGGCATCCCAGGCATGGCCCACAGCCTCCCATGGTGACGGGATGTCCAGAAAGACAGCATCAGCCACGTGGCTCACGCCAAAGCCGCTGCGGCACACGTCCTGGTTGCGCACGGTCACCCAGCGGCCCACGCGGTGCTCCTGGAACTCCTCCCGCGCCTTCTCTGCCCGCTGCTGGTGGAACTCCACCGTGTGCAGGTGGCCCGTGGGTGCAATGGTGCGGATGATGGCATGGGACACGGAGCCGCTGCCAGTGCCTGGAGGGACAGGTGTCAGGTGGAACTGCTGGGTCCAGCCAGGAAACAACTCCGAGAGACCCACAGAGAGCCCACAAGGTCAGCTGGCCCAGGGTACCAATGGGCATCACTTGTGAGCTACCTGTCAGTCCTGGCTGCCCTCTGACCCCTGGTGGGAGTGGGACAGCTGGAATTGACCAGAGATGTCTGCCCTGCTCAGTCCCAGCAATGGAGCAAACCCGGCTGCAGACCTGGAGACTGGGTTGTGTGGGGAAGCTGTCCCGAGGCTCTGCAGTGCCTGGACAGAGCAGACAAATGGGCCTGGGTCTGTCCCATCGCCTTCCATGTGGTGGCTGGTTCCCAGTTCCCTGAGCTCCAGACCCACTCATGCGGGTCCATCTCTCTGCCCCCCTTCTCCTCTGCCCTTGCCTTGCTGCCCCCCTTCATGGTATCCTGACACCAACTTACCACAGAGCTCCTCTCCCGCCAGGTCACTGTCTCCCAGTTTCTGCCCAACTGCACCAGGCCGCCTCTCTGCTTGACTCCCTATCCTGCAGCTCCCAGCTGGAGCCTGTGTCCCCCATCCACCCCCGACCTCTGCTCACCCCACAGTCACATGTGCCACCTACTTGATGACAACTTCTCACAGCCATATCCCTCCACTCAACTCCTACCTGGTGTCTACTGCACACTCACCACCTCCCTACAACACCCAAATGGTGCTCGGCACTAGCAAGTGCAAAGCGGGACCCGATCCAGCACCAAGTCCACTCTGCCGAGCCTTCTGCAGCCCGATCAACCACATCCACTGCACAGCAGCCACCTCGAGGCGCCCTTGACTCTCCCTTCTCCCACCCACATCTGATCCACCATGAACGCCTTCCACGCCTTCCACGTCTCTCCCGGACCCACTGCTTGTCTTGTCCCCACCTGCCTGCTGAGCCCGCCTGGGCCCCTCCCTCCTGGCTCTGCAACAGCCACCAGACTGGCTGCCTGCAATCGTCCTAACAGCCCCAGTCAGACCGGGTTGACTCTCTGCACAAATTGGCCGAGCTCCCGTTCCACGCAGGGTGGGGTCAGACTCCAAATAGCACTCCAAGCTGTGCCCCTTCCCTCCCTGACCTCATTTCTTGCTCCACCCATGCTGGCCTCTGGGCTGTCCCTCACTGGGGGCCTCTGCATGCTCTCCCTCAGGTGACACTCTCCCTTGGCTCTTGGTAGGTACCTCTTCTCATCGTTTCCAATTCAATGTCCCTTTTGTAGAGGTCCTCTCTGACCACCCCAGCTGGAGGGACCCCTCTTGGAGTGACCCTCAAACACGCAGCCTGTCTTACGAGCCTCAAGCAATCAACACACTAAAATGGTGCAACTGACCTTACCATCTGTTCCTCTGAGAAGTGAAAATCTGTTCTGTCTGGTCTATGGCTGTGCCTCCAGGTCCCAGAAGGGGAGCTGGCACACCAGAGGAGCCCAGAGCATGCCCACTGCCCAAGCCCTTTTTCCCCAACTGGAGTGAAGCCCTGGCTGAGGGTGAAGCAGGGACTGAAATGGGCTCTGAGTTCTGCTGCCCACTGGCCACCAGCACCCCGGTGCCCTTGTGCTGAGTGCTCGGGCTCTGCCCAGCCCCACCTATTCTCTGACCCAGAGCCTAGGGCCTGCATCTGCCTCGTCCTATTTCTAAGTGTTGGGCTGGGCAACAGGGACCATCCAACTGTCCACATGGAGAAGCCAAGGCCCAGAGAGGGACAGGATGGTGTGAAGCCCTCAGAAAGCTGGCAGCAGTGGTGCTGGGGACTCTTTTGACTGCTGACCCCGGCTGTCCTGCCCATAAGGAACATGCTGGGAATCTAGGGCACCTGGACATGGGCTGTCCGTTGCCAGGCTGCAAGCTTCGATCTCTACCCCCCCCAATGTTTCAGCACCTCTGGGTGTGTCTGTGGGTGGGGAAAGGCCTGAGAACAGCTGGCCTTCAGGCACTCCCACCTGCACCCCAGCTCCTGGGCTCAGTGACAATGATGCTGGTTGGTTATGTGCATGGGGCAGGCTCCCCCGCAACCATGAGCATCTCGAAGTAGCCCCTGCCACCCTCCAGGAAGGGGTACCTCTCAGTCCTGGGCGTGGGGTTCCCACTTGCAGCAGTCGGGGACTGCTGGGCAAGCCAACCACTGCCTTTCTGTCAGCACAGGGCTAGGGAATGGTCAGCACTGAGCAGCACTGTGGCCCCACCTCCCCAAGACAGGCAGGACCCTCCCTGGCCACCCCCCCCCGGGGGCCCATCCTTGGTCAGCTCTCACTCAGATTATAGCACCAGCTTCCTGACTAACTTCCCTGCTTCTGTCCTTTCTCCCTGCAGTCAGCCCCCCAAAAAGGTCCTGTTAAAACAGAGGTCAAGTGGCCACGCCTGTTTTCAGGAAGGGCATGCGGGACGCTGTCTGAACGCTGGGGCTGACCTCCACCAGCGCGTCCGTTTCTGAGGTAGACAGATGCAGTCTGAAGCACTCACCAGATTCACAGACCACAGAGCCAGGCCGAAGCTCCAGCATCATGGTGAGCAGGGCGATGTCGGTGGAGTAGAGGATCTGGGTGCGGTGCGGCAGGTTCAGTGTCCAGAGCTCAGGTGTGGGGTGCAGCACGTACACCCAGCCGCCTCGGCCGCAGGTCACCTTGGAACCAAAAGGACGGCCAATGAGGTCTACCGAGTGCCGCAGGACGCCATGCCGGGTTTGGGTCTGTGCTCCACGCTGCACGCGAACTGCCACCATTGAACCGTGGCCCAGTGACAGGATGGCTGTGTCACCCTCTTTGATCAGCTCCTCATAAGCTACAAAGCTCATAGTGTTGCTCTCAGGCGGGTGCCAGGGACCTGGGAAGAGGAACAGGGGCATGAGCAAGGGATGGCGCCAGGAGGCAGGATGTGCACGGTGACTCCCAGGTCCTAAGCCATGGGGTGGGAGTAGGGCCGCGGGCTTAGGCCCTGGCACTGCCCACCAGGACAGCCCAATAGGGCTGCACCCTGGCTGACATTTGAAGCCCTTCTTGGTCTGGGTCACGAGACACAAGCCATCAGCCCAAATCACAGACGGAGGGACAGAGGCCAGACCACGGCAAGGATTCCCTCAAAACCAGGACCTAACCCTGTCATCGCCTCCAGGGGCTGGTCGCCCATCCTCCAGGTGAGATGAGGGCGGCCCCCCGCGGGGAAGCAGCACAAGGTCACCTCCACTCCTGGCCACGGCCAAGTGGCTGGTGGGCTCAGCGGAACCCCGCCTCCCCAATCTCCCCAGGGCGGCGTCAGGGCGGAAGGGTGCGGAGGAGGCCGGAGGGGCAGGGGCAGGGACACGGGCAGGGGCAGGGACACGGGGAGGGACAGGGACACGGGCAGGGACAGGGACACAGGCAGGGGCAGGGACACGGGGAGGGACAGGGGCAGGGACACGGGCAGGGGCAGGGACACGGGGAGGGGCAGGGACACAGGCAGGGACAGGGACACAGGCAGGGGCAGGGACACGGGGAGGGACAGAGGCAGGGACACGGGCAGGGACAGGGACACAGGCAGGGACAGGGACACGGGGAGGGGCAGGGACACAGGCAGGGACACGGGGAGGGACACGGGCAGGGACACGGGCAGGGACAGGGACACAGGCAGGGGCAGGGACACGGGGAGGGACAGGGGCAGGGACACGGGCAGGGGCAGGGACACGGGGAGGGGCAGGGACACAGGCAGGGACAGGGACACAGGCAGGGGCAGGGACACGGGGAGGGACAGAGGCAGGGACACGGGCAGGGACAGGGACACAGGCAGGGACAGGGACACGGGGAGGGGCAGGGACACAGGCAGGGACACGGGGAGGGACACGGGCAGGGACACGGGCAGGGACAGGGACACAGGCAGGGGCAGGGACACGGGGAGGGACAGGGGCAGGGACACGGGCAGGGGCAGGGACACGGGGAGGGGCAGGGACACAGGCAGGGACAGGGACACAGGCAGGGGCAGGGACACGGGGAGGGACAGAGGCAGGGACACGGGCAGGGACAGGGACACAGGCAGGGACAGGGACACGGGGAGGGGCAGGGACACAGGCAGGGACACGGGGAGGGACACGGGCAGGGACACGGGCAGGGACAGGGACACAGGCAGGGGCAGGGACACGGGGAGGGACAGGGGCAGGGACACGGGCAGGGACAGGGACACAGGCAGGGGCAGGGACACGGGGAGGGACAGGGGCAGGGACACGGGCAGGGGCAGGGACACGGGGAGGGGCAGGGACACAGGCAGGGACAGGGACACAGGCAGGGGCAGGGACACGGGGAGGGACAGAGGCAGGGACACGGGCAGGGACAGGGACACAGGCAGGGACAGGGACACGGGGAGGGGCAGGGACACAGGCAGGGACACGGGGAGGGACACGGGCAGGGACACGGGCAGGGACAGGGACACAGGCAGGGGCAGGGACACGGGGAGGGACACGGGCAGGGACACGGGCAGGGACAGGGACACAGGCAGGGGCAGGGACACGGGGAGGGACAGGGGCAGGGACACGGGCAGGGGCAGGGACACGGGGAGGGGCAGGGACACAGGCAGGGACAGGGACACAGGCAGGGGCAGGGACACGGGGAGGGACAGAGGCAGGGACACGGGCAGGGACAGGGACACAGGCAGGGACAGGGACACGGGGAGGGGCAGGGACACAGGCAGGGACACGGGGAGGGACACGGGCAGGGACACGGGCAGGGACAGGGACACAGGCAGGGGCAGGGACACGGGGAGGGACACGGGCAGGGACACGGGCAGGGACAGGGACACAGGCAGGGGCAGGGACACGGGGAGGGACAGGGGCAGGGACACGGGCAGGGGCAGGGACACGGGGAGGGGCAGGGACACAGGCAGGGACAGGGACACAGGCAGGGGCAGGGACACGGGGAGGGACAGAGGCAGGGACACGGGCAGGGACAGGGACACAGGCAGGGACAGGGACACGGGGAGGGGCAGGGACACAGGCAGGGACACGGGGAGGGACACGGGCAGGGACACGGGCAGGGACAGGGACACAGGCAGGGGCAGGGACACGGGGAGGGACACGGGCAGGGACACGGGCAGGGACAGGGACACAGGCAGGGGCAGGGACACGGGGAGGGACAGGGGCAGGGACACGGGCAGGGGCAGGGACACGGGGAGGGGCAGGGACACAGGCAGGGACAGGGACACAGGCAGGGGCAGGGACACGGGGAGGGACAGAGGCAGGGACACGGGCAGGGACAGGGACACAGGCAGGGGCAGGGACACGGGGAGGGACAGGGGCAGGGACACGGGCAGGGACAGGGACACAGGCAGGGGCAGGGACACGGGGAGGGACAGGGGCAGGGACACGGGCAGGG